TTTGCATAGCGAGATCTTACATCTTCATTCCCCTTTATTGTTACCTCGGAATCTTTACGTAAACATTTCCGGTCAATTGATTTGTTTTGTCTAATACATCACATGCATGCCATTCTTTAAACATTGAAATAAAAACAGCTTCCGTATAAACATCTACATACGACATAGATGATTGATCGCTAAAAACGCGATTACAATAGATGCATAAATGATGATAAAAATAAAGAAAGATAAAATCAATGAAATCAATACAAAAGTTAAAAGTAAGGATATTGTTACCCAAAAGCTGGCGAGTGAAGTACTGAATTCTTCCATAAGGCTGTTGTATTGATCAGAAACACTGTCGACCTTCCGTACCATGTTTTCATGAAATTTCTGTATAAACGCATCTTCGTTCCGTACCATCTTCTTCATGTGAGCCTGCCGTGCTTTAAGGTGGTTTCGCGCATAAGTACTATGCATTTTTCGATCATCAGCCTAACCTAATTGTTAACCGTGTAGACGGTTAAAAAAATTGGTCCGGACCACTTTTCAATGGGTCCGGGCCCGGTTTTTCTGTAGTGTAAATGGGAGCCAAAAGGTATGAAACAAATTTTCCGGGAAAAAAAATCCTGCGAAGGGTTTCCTTTAAAAAAACAATTCTTGCACAGGCAATCGGCCATAAAAAAATCCTTGCGAGCTAAAAAAAACCCACTCCCCCCCCTTCACCCCCCCATAACTTTTCTAAAGGTCCGTCCCTAACATTGTTGTGTCATTGCATGCAAGATTTCATTGTATCAAATACCATTTAGCATACATTTTGAGAGATATATTCAAGGAGCCGGTTCCTGACTCAACAAAGTCTTACATGGAAAGGCTCCACTCCGAGGTCCAACCCCTTACTATATTATTACCATTTTTGACTAGCCTGTGGGCAGGCTCACTTGAGCTACTGCGGGAAAAGTTTGGCGGCGGAGCTTCTATTGACAAATGGAACCCCTTTCACATACCTAGTTTAGAGCTTTGTATTCCTTTAACTGCTGTCAACGCTCTGCCACAAAACCAGAATTTTTCAAAGCCATAAAATGCTTCTTTGGGCCAATTTGGGCCTTTTTACAGACCCAAATGACAGATTTCCCTACCCTTTCTTATACTTTAACTAGTGAAATCCCTACCCTTTTATATTCCTGAAAAATGAAAAAGGTATTCCTTTCGGTTGGAGCCCCCATGTATAATAATAAATAATAATGAGTCTTTATTTCATCAAAAGATAAAACTACATATCTTATGCTACAATAATAAGGAAGATAAAAAACTATGATAAAAATATCTACATATATATTTAAAAAGTGTGTCATTACAATAAATGGAGCTTAAAAATCAACCTATTTACAAAGGTTTTCATAAAACGCTGTGTATTAATTTTCAAGCGTGCGCAGCCTTTTTTCCTAAGATTATGTACATAAGTCTTCTGGACTGGAATGATATCTTTCAGGGGGTGGCAATCCGTTGATATTAATTTCTTTAAAATGTTTCGGTAAATAAAACGGCGTTTATGGCATCGGTCTAAAAAATTTTGTATAACCGGACTCCGATGCCCCATAGACTGAAAGCGCATAGCTAAAATTAGGTAAAACAAGAGATATAAAAAGGTGATCTATCTCTGCCTGAGAGTAGTGTGCCTTTCTTAGTGTTCGTAGGACGTGTAAACACTTGTTTGCTTTGACAAGCTTGGTTCTTACATGCTCATTAAATTTCCCGTCACTAGTAAAAAGAAGCTATTACATTGAGGAATATTGTTAATTGGAGAGTAGAGTACATTGTGATTTTTCTTTCTAACAACCAGCTCTTTACATTTACAAGGGTTGCAGACCATTTTATTGTCTTTACACCAGGTTAAGAACTGTCCTACTAAGTCGGTACACGGGTCGCGGTTCCTAGTGATAGGGGAAAGAATAGTGGAATCATCGGCATATTTAAAAAGAACAGGGCAACCATTAAAGAAAATCTCCAAGTCATTCAAAGATATATCAAAAAGATACGGTCCGCTTACACTACCTTGTGTGGTTCCTCTATTGACAGATTTCCAATGTCCTAAAAAATTATAACTAACAACACGTTGTCTTGCATAGAGGAAACTCTGATACCAATTGATAATGTACGGATTTAGGGGTAGCTGCTTCAGTTTGGCAGACAAAATAGTATGGTTCACAAAATCGAAGGCCTTACTGAAGTCCATAGTAAAAATTCGCACTGCGCTACAGTCAGGCGTCACACTTCCATGAAATACACCGGCTTTGTAGCTGCAATACATTGCCGTGTCGAATCGAAGATCATTGGATGTAGTGAGAAGGCAGTGGTGGATGATACTTCGCAACAAATACACCATTACCTCGAATAAGCGTAAAATTTCAGCTAAAAGGATGGGATTGATTGATAGATAGATATATTGTTTGATTTATTGGTTGATTGATTGATAGATTGATTGATTGATTGATTGATTGATTGATTGATTGATTGATTGAT